ATTTTATGAAGCTTCATAGTTCTGTGATCCATTTTATGCTGATTTCTATATCTGGTATGAGCATAGATCAAGACCCCCGCCCCAGCTGTGGCAGTACTTTCCTTGTCTTGCCTTTGCAATATTGTTGAGATTCAGCTGACCATAAATGCATGGATGTCTTTCTGGATGTTTCATTTTGTTCTGTTGATTATTATTTTTATGCCAATATGACATTGTGTTGATTATCAATAACTTTATAAGAGCTTTTTAAAAAACTGTTTTAAGCTCTTAGAAATCCTTCAACTTCATTATTTTCTGAAAGTTACTTTGGCTCTTTTGTGCCTTTTATATTTTCGTATGAATTTTAGGGTAAAGGTAAATTTCTGCAAAAGGAAAAAATTCCTGTGAGGTTTCTTAGTGGGACTGTGTTTAATCCGTAAATCAATATGGGGAGAGAGAGTTACCATCGTAACCTCCCAACCTGAATGGTTTAAAATCCCAGCTACATTATTTAGAACTGTGTATATGTGAGGGCTTTGTATAACAATTACTGAGTCCAAAGTTTTCTGCCTCTAAAATGAAGGTAGGGCCTGGCAAAGGCAATGTCCTGAGTTTGATTCCTGGTACCAAAAAATAAAATAAAATAAAATAAAACAAAATAAAATAAAGGTAGAAATTCAATGGTAATAATAAGAGTAGGGAAACCTATGTTTGTAAAGTGCTTCATGCCTATTTTTTTTCTTTTATACTTTAGCAAGCATTTAATGGGTAGTGAAAATATAAAGTATAATACTAGCAGTGAGACCTTTTTCATTGTTCTGGGGACTGAGTCCAGGGATTGCCGGTCTAAATCGCAAGTTCTTTTTCCTTTCATTTTGAGCAGAGTCTCACGAAGTAGCCCAGGCAGCCCTGAACTTTGGATCCTCCTGCCTCAGCCTCTCAAGCCACTGCCAGGGGCCACCACTCGTAGCTCTGGTTTTTGTTTTTTTTAATGCACTCGCATTACTTCTGGAGTGGGTCTGTGGTGACATTTTCAGACATGAATAGAACAAACTTCATCTTGCTGCTGTTTTCCAAGCTCACTTTCACCCTAGGGACTGGATTCACAGGCCATAGAGGAAGTTTTACTCAACTTTGAGACCTAATTTACCAGGCACGTTTTTACTGCAACTTAACACTGGCATGAGAGCAGTGCCCCGTCCCAGAAGAGCTGGTTTCATGTGAATGCAAGGAGGCCTGGACGGGTGACCCGCCCGGTGTGCTCACGGAGCAAGAACAGTGAGAGCTCCTTGCATGTGTCATCACGCGTCTGTCTGCTTCCACGGCCTACTTTTTTTCCCCTCTGGGTTTGGTAGATTATGAAGAGCAGTGTTAATTCACACGTGGTAAATGCAGAGGAAGTGGGCTTGAAAGCAGCAAATGATACAAATGTTTCTTTTTTAAGTCTACATGTGAAACCTGGCTATAGGTGCCCTATGTCACGTCCTGCTATTTAAGAGAGAACTTAAATGAACCTTAGGAACACATCACAATGTAAAGGGCAGAGAGTAAATAATTTTAGCAGATTTATGACCATGTTACCTAAATGTGAAATAGTAAAGATTAGTATTCCCAATTACACAAAATCTATTTCTCTTAATCTTCTCAAGCATAATCCTAGGATTTTTTGGGGGGGTGGGGCAGAGTCTCACTGTGTAGCCCAGGCTGGCCTCAAACTCAGCTGCGATCCTCCTGCCTCAGCCTCTCAAGTGCTGGGATACAGGCGCGTACCACCGCACCCTGCTAGTCCTAGGAATCTTGTGTAAATACAGCCTTCTGGGCCAGAATTACCTTCTCTCCCTGTAGCAGTGCTTCACAGTTACACTGTGTGACCAGGGTCCACTCTTTTTTAGAGAGACATAAATGTTAAGCAGTGGTATATGACACATCACAATCTGCCACCTCAAAAAATTGTTTATGGAGTGCCAAGCTCGGAGATTTGAGTATTGAGTAGTTTTACTTAAAAAAGAATGCTATAACTTAATGTGGTTTTTCTTTCTCATGTTTACATTAAAAGAAAATCTAATAAACTATTGCATTTTTAAAAAATATCCCAGCCAGTTGGCCAACTCCGTTTACCCAGCACAGTGGCTACTAAATACCACCGCTAAACAAGATCCTGTGCCGGGCTCTTAGGACTTCAGAGTGAGGCCAGGACTCCATATTTTCTCCTCCCAAAACTTTTGGACGCAGAGAGAATACAGACAAGCAAATAGATCCTTTATTTTACAATATTTATTATGTAGCTGCTTATTTACATCTCAAGCTCATTGAGACAGTCTTGCTGGGTAGTCCCAGGCTGGCCTTGTACTCCGTAGCTTGGGCTGGCCTCAAACTCACAGAGAGCCTCCTGCCTCAGCCTCTTGAGTGCTAGGATTACAGGCGTGTGCCCCCAGGCCCAGGTCCAGACAAATCATTTCAATGAGACCGAAAGGTAAAATGAGGAGCGTTCTGGAAACACATTTGAAAAGGGCTGATTTGGAGCAGTAGGGGTCAAGGAAGAAATTTCTAAAGGAAGTGGTCTTGAAAATGCGTTCTGGGAAATGGCACAGGCAGGTAGGATGAGGGTGTGGGAGAAGGGCGAGAGCAGAACTCGGAGCCTTGTACACAGAGTGCACATCAGGATGCAGGGGAGCGTGCAGCACTGGGAGAGCGCTGGGAGCTGGGCCAGGAGAGAGGGATCCCTCATAAGCCAGTGAGTGCTGTGACTTGGTCCTGGCAGACTCCCAGGCATGGAGACCAGAGAACAGTTGGGAGATCGCCGAGGCCTGAGGGGGCAGGACTGTGGCCGTCGGGCAGGGAGGTGCCAGTTTCTGACCTGAGCAGCTGTTAGCCAGCTTGGTCTGGTGTCTTCTCCGCAGCAGGAAGTGGGAAGGAGCCGGTGGGTTTGGCGTGGAGAGGACAGATGCCTGCTTCTGTGGGAGCTCTGGTGATGCTGGGGAGACCGCCTGGGAGCGGCCTGTTGCAGACAGGGATGCAGTGGCAGAAAGCGAGGCTGTTGTGAGGCTCACGGGTCGGAGGCCCAAGAGGGAAGAAAGGTCATCCGCCCGAGGACTACCTTTAAAAGACGGGCTGACACCTGCTTTGTCTTTCTTCAGCACCGTGGCACTTGGCTGGTCCACTGGACCGCCCAAAGCCCCGCTACCGCCTGCCACATCTGCTACTCAAGGCCAGCGTCTCTGTGACCGAGGGCGCAGCAGAGATGCAGAACAGGGCCTTGCCAGGAATTCTCGGAGCTGAGTAACATCGCTCTAAGTGCAACTTTTTGGAATTATCTTTTATTCCTTAATTATTAGAATGACATTGGAGAGACCTGGTTAAATCCTGTGTGTGTGTGTGTTTCTGTGTGTCTGTGTTTCCCTAAATGATATGAAGTAGAAACCCAAAGCATCAGTCACAAACCCGAGAGCAGCCGGGGATACAGGGTTGTGGCATCACCTTGCTACCTTGGGCACTTTGACAGGCTTTGCAGGACACTTCAGTGTTTGGAGAGCCCCGTTCAAGTTCTAGCCCAGGGCTCCTCTCTTATTGAGTCTCCCAGAGGTGGAGATTTTTGTCATGCTGGTATTTGGAGGTAGAGGTGGAAATAATACTGGTAACCCCTATTCCTGGTGTTGTGTTTTCTGGTGACCTTGTGACCTTGGCGAGCCACCTCCATTAGTCATCACCACTGTATGCCCCTGGAAGCAGTCTGGGTTGCCAAAGGTGGAAAGAAAGTGGCGGGGAAAAGACACCGATGTGGTGCGTTCCTGTGCTCCCGAAGTGAGGAACGTCCCCCCTGCCACCCTGGCTGCGCTCGGCCCAGGGAGCATCTCCACCCAGGTCGCCCGGGTTCTCCTGATGCTTGCTGATCAGTGGGGATGCGACCTGTCTGGCTTAGGTGTTACTTCTGGTGCAGGGACACATTTAATTTCATAACGGAAATAAACACGTTGCTGTTAGTGAGTGGAAGTTTATTATTGCTTTCTGAAATCTGCAGATATTCCTCCAAAGGCTAAACTCTTACTTGGGAGACCACCTAATGAGGAATCAGAACGTTTGATTATAATAATATAGCTTGCTACTTCTTTGAGTATACTGAGTGTCTGGCATTATTATAAATGCTTCATTTTATCCGTGGGGAAATAGTGGAAAGGCGGTGAAATCTGCCAGAGCTTTGGAGCCGGTAGGAGTGGAGTTTGAGGTGAGGCCCGCCTGTCTTTACTGAATGTCCTTGGGGCAAGGGGGCCCGAGAAGGTGGGAAGGAGGCGGGGTACAAGAGGGAAGACATGGGCTTCAAAAGCAAGCGTCAGGCAACATCTGTGCTCAAAGCGCTGCCTAGGCCTGCTGTCCTGGGAATCACACAATGACCAGCTTTGTACCACCCACTCCCGCCCCCCCCCCCCCGCCACACACACACCCCTTTTTACACGCGCTCTTCAAAGTCAGTTTAGCTTTCAAATCACTTTTTAGAATCTCACCAGTAAAGCCAATGCTTCCCACCCTTGTTTACTGCTCAGTATATAGAAATGACAGTGTCCACTTGGCCTGCTCCTCCGGGGTCAGGCTTTTGAGGATCTAATAAAAATGATGGAGTTCAAATGGTGAAATCAACACACACGAAATCACGTCCTACGCGTGATCATCCTCCTGCTGTCCATGCTTTGCTTGTCATCAAGGAGTCTGTGAGTAGCTGGTCCAAGTCTGCGCAGAAATAACTCCTTTTTCTTCAGCTCCGTGGCAAAACAATAGATAATTAATTCTTTTGATACATTTCTGATTGAGAGACTGTAAGAGTTGCTTTATGTCTTTTTTTCAATCCTTTATGTTGAAAGTGTACTGAAGATAATCAGATTTTCCTAACAAGAATAACAGTGCTCGGATATTCAGGTCAAGTGTGTCTCTTTCTTCAGGTTGTCTGACAGACTTTTGACACCCTGGGTAATAAAACGAATGCGTCAGTAAGCACATGCTTTTTTTTTTTTAAACAAAATTATTTCACAAAATAATTTCTCTTTCTTTAATTTTAGGAAACAGATATTGATGACAGATATGGAGATTTGGATTCCAGAGCAGATTCTGATGTCCCCGAAATCCCGCCATCCTCAGACAGGACCCCCGAGATACTGCAGAAAGCTCTGTCTGGCTTATCCTCAAGGTGCGACTGGGGAGGGGCCGGGTGTTGGTGTGCAGGTGACCCCTGAGCTTATCCCTCTCCATGTGATCCGCTTGGTGACCGTGAGAGAGAAAGCTTGAACTCTTTGACTTGCGTAGTAAGCGAGGCGCGAGCCTAAGCACTTCATGTGTTTCCAATTCTTTTTTATTCTGGCTTAACGGAGGTTAAAATTACGACACAAAATTCCATGGCACTTTACCATCATTTTATATCCGTGCCGTGTTGTAAAATGTTTAATGGCCGCCACAACTCAGCCCATTTTAAGTTAATTAGTTGTCTACTTTAGTCCTGTTAGTACAGTTTTCGCACACAATGAGGGAAGAATTGCCAAGCGTACACCTGGTAGTAGGTAGCAAGCGGATATATTCACTGAAGGTCAGGAGAGCTTGGGCTCGTGGGCTCTCTGTGCTCAGGAAGGTACAGCACAGACCAACAAAGGTGCCAGGGTGACCGAAAAGCACCGCACATGGTCACAGGCACACAAAAGCGTCCACGGCAAAGAAAAAGAATGGAAGCTCAGGGTTTCAGAATGGAAAGGCCAGACACCTCTACTTTAGGTGCCTCCCACGGAGTCTCCGGGTGGATGGACAGGTTGCTGAGTCATCCTAGGCGCGCTCAATGTGCATGCTCACCCCGGCATGAACTGCTCTTAATTGTGTTTCTGAGCCGTAGTACACATTTATGAGCCGGTAATGAGGTGGAAGTAGGGTAAGGTGACCAGAAGGCCAGGCTAGGAGATCCTAAGCACGGGTGCTCTTGCCTGGAGCACAGCCGGCATCTCCTAAACTGTTACTTTATTCTCCACCTCTCTTAGGACAGTGGAAGCAGGAATAACCATAAGGTGCTGTCTAGGATTAAAGGGAAGGGAAGGAATGACTCCCTCAGCTTGATTGTCTCTAACTGTGTCAATATGAATTGTAAAATTCTTGTGAAAAAATGATTTTTTTCAGAGTAGTGTGTGGTATATTACATAGTAGTAAAAACAGCCTTTCCTTAGCTTTTTTCACGGATACCTGAAAGTAAATACATTTCATACCGCATCTCGGGAACCCCATTAATAAGTCCTTTTACCTGCTGCAAAAATGATGTGAATCATTGCCCGCATTGCCCGCGGTGTCCCCGACTTCCTTTTTGTTCGATGCTGTTCCACGTCATCCACGCAAGAGCTGGGTGCAACTTACTACCTTGATTTTACCACCGCAGATCATCACCTGCACTTTAAAAACCACAGATTTGGTCGTTTCTACAAAAATTCTACGAATTCTTTTTTATTTTCAGGGCAGAACTATTCTGAGGGCATCAGGAGGGGAATAAACAGAGACGGAGCTCTTCCTACTGTGTCACTCACGGCGCAGGCCGCTTCTGTGACCCCAAAGCATGTGGGGTTCCCCCTCCCTGCAGGCGGGCAGTCACCTCTCCAGTGGACACTGCGGGTGGGGCTCTGGCCCTACAGGCTGACAGCGCCTGCCCGTGTGACGACTCCGTCTCCCTTTTCAGACACCTGTCACTGGGCAGGGCCTCCAGAGCTTCTGACCAGCTGGCCACAAGTCGGGGTTCCCGCACCTGCTCTTTTGCCTCAATGAGTTTGTTAAAGCACCTCCCGGAATTCAGGTGAACACACCTTTAGTTACTGGTTTATTATGAAGACTTTATAGGAGAAGGCCAAGCAGGCAGAAGAGTTCCCTGGGCCAGGTCTGAGGAAGCTCCTAAGCACAGGACCTGCGGGGCCCCCTTCCCTCGAGCACACCACGACTGCTTCTCGTCACCATCACGCAGGCCTCCACATGCCAGCCACAGAGGCTCCTGGGCCCTGTCCGCTGGGGTTTTACTGGACTCCTCATGCCCAGCCGCCGGGAGACCTGTGCCAGGACGCACACCAAGGGCCCCAGCAGGCTGGCTGTTCAGTTCTCCTCCGGGATTTGCACAGCGTCCTGGGGATGTAGAATCTGTGGCTGGCTTCACCACACAAAGGGAGGGGAAATTAATATGTGCCCTGCCTTTAGGAAGAGAAGCTTACAGTGTCCTTGTCTTAGAAAAATAGAGCAGATGATAGAGGCAGGAGGAGGAGAAGACTTTGGTTTGATGTCTGCTTCCGAGGCCTAGAATAATACCCGAGCATTCTTCTAGTCATTCAGGGAATTATATGCTCGAGCTGTGGCTGTAAAGCAAAATATGTGTATTGCACCAGCTCAACCTTCTTAGAGCAGATTGGTTCAAAGCAACGTCTTCAGATTAACCAATAGGACAAATCTGTGCTGTTTTCTATTGAAAGCAGGATTGGTGTTTTAATAGTTCCTGATCCCTGTTGTTTTCACGACCTAGTTCACAGGTGTCCCTTTGCTTTAAAATCTCATCGGGTCTCCCGGACCTGAAGTGGTGCCGCATTCCTGTGTATCACTCCTAAGGCTGGATTCCTATGTCACGCCTGTATATCACTCTTCCTTCCTCTGTAAGATTCTTTTCTGGTCTAAAGTAGCCTTAGCAAAGAACAGCAGCTGGGAGTCATTGAGCACACAGAGGGGCTAGGCGCTCCCACATGCGAGCTTGCCCTCCAGCTGCCCCGATACACGGTTACAGTCCTGCAGCTATTTTGTAACGAGTAACCTGAGGCCCAGAGATACCGTGTCCCGGCTCACGTAGCTACTAAGTGGCTGAGCTGTGGGCTTTGATACCTGTGTTCCTACCTTTGCTATTGATGAGAGTTGGGTTTTTTTTAGCAAAGGAATAATAGATAGTGTAACACTTTCAGTCTCTTCAAGAAACTTCTTTAGAAAGATTATGTGAATATCTAAAAATCTATGCGTTAGACATGTTTTAGTCTCTTTTTTTTTTTTTTTTTTGTTTTTCTCCAGTACCGGGAACCGAACTCATGACCTTGCCCTTGCCAGGCAGGCGCTTTTGCCGCTGAGCTAAATCCCCAGCCCCCAGTCTCTTTTTAATCTAATAAATTAAGAGATAATTTCGCAGAGACTTCGAATTTGTAGATTAAAACTCCTAATTGCATGAGAAATGTACTTGAATTGAGGGGGAACCCTATAATCCTCTGTCAGACTAGACCTGGAGTAGCAACCAAGACCACCAGGACAGGCAGGATTGGAGCAAACACCCATATGTTTATTTCAGGCTGGGTGCAGCCTGGCCAAGGGCGGCAAAGCTGTTGGCTCCAAACAAAGGAAGGGGGCCTGCTGTATAGACTATTTCAGGTATGGGAGGGGGAAATTCCACTGAGGAAGGTGGACAGTTTAAGTTTCTCAGGGGTGATTGGTGGGTCTGGTGCCTCTGGGGAAAGGAAGTGCAGGAGGACATCAGCATGTTTCTGATTTACAGCGTGGCATTCTGCAGACTCATGAAATTTCCTGTAAGCCTGAGAACCAGGCCTGGGAACCATCCTGACAAACAGATTTACTTTAGTCTCTTGAGCTGAGTGAGGGGCCTTCTGTCTGAACAGACTGGTTGTCTGTCAGAGTTTTTCTCTTCAAGCTGGGCAGGGTATGATGTGAGGGACCTAACACCTCCTACCAGTACTTTGACATGTGTGATACTTTGGTATTTACTCCTTTTATTTATCTTTTTTTTTTTTTTTTTTTCCTTCTGATGCTTTGGTTTGAACCTAGAGACTACTCCCCAACTTTGACAGACTTGGAAATCTTTCTGCCCCAGCCTCCCTAAACATTGGGGTTACAGGCATGTACCACTGCGGCAGCTGTTACACTCTTTGAACCTATTTCTTGTACATTGCGGGTGTGAGATGTAAAAATGGGCTCCTGCAGTTTTCTCCCTGCTGTTTTTGTTTTCACCCCATGGATTACTAGGTGCAATATCTCATGTCCTTAACTTAGATATCAGGTTGCACCCAGGGTCTTGTACCTGGTAGGCAGACACGGTGCCACTGAGCTAAGCCCCAGCCCTTCCGAAGGAGTTCAGTGCTGCATGACCCCTCCTGGTGTGACTGTAGTCCAGTTTATTCAACCGCCAGCCTCCTGCTGGACATTTAAATTGTTTCTCAGTTTTCACAATTAAAAAGAAAACTCTGAGATGCTGTGATGCTAAGTGGTCCAGGTGGGCGCAGGCCAGGGCTTTGCTATTAAGGGCCCCAGGGCACATGTGCTGTGCAGTGTGGGTGTGGGGGGTGGGCAAGGGCTGCATTCCTGTGGCTCCCTGCTCCTCCTCGGAGTTCTCTGACCTGGGTAGGCTTGACTCTGTCCCTCCTCGGAGCTCCCTGGGCCAGTCAGGGTGGGCTCTGTCCCTCCTGGGGGCTTGCTAGCCTGGGTAGGGTGGGCTTCAGCCAGTGCTTGGTGCTGTGTGGAGATTATATTGGTGTCACAGCAGTGGCACCACTGCTGGCAGGGAGTATGTGGAGGACAGGGACACTGCTGTGTGTCACGGAGCAGACTCTCACAGCACAGGGAGGTGTGGCCCAGGATGTCCAGTGAGTAGGCTGAGAGACCCCAAAACATCCATGGTGGCCTTTCCAGTGCTCCGGACCTCACACTGCCTTCCTCCTCTCAGAGCACCCGCCCACCCCTGGCCACTCCAGAGCTCTAGACTCCTGCCATCTGCTGAGCCCCGGCGTCCTGCCCTGACTCCGCAGGACCCCTCTGCCTCCTTAGGTGCACGGCCTTGTCCCCACCTAGCTTCCTGGTAACTATGACGCCTGTGCTGCTAGGAAACTAATTTCTAAAAATTTTTCAATTGGGCCGGTGAGATAACTCAGCGGCACAGTGCTTGCCTGGCAAGCCTGAGGCCCTGAGTTTGATTCCTGGCACCCTCCAAAAAATCTTTTCATTAACTTTGAAAATAAAAACAACTTCCCAGCTATAGTAAGAGCAAGCTATTTTATACCACATAGCAGTTTGAACAGTAAGTGTGTAACCATTTAAAAGGATTAATTTGTGTATGTGTGTGTGTGTGTGTGTGTGTGTGTGTGGTGCTGTACCACTGAGCTGATCCCCAGACCTGAGATGATCACTTTTAAGAATACT